TTAGGAAAATATTACATTTATCTGTGTATATCAGGGGCTTCATGTCTGCAATTAATAAAACATAACTGGATATTAAGATGAAAAATAATTTGTTATTAAACTGCCAGGTGGCTAGATCTGTTACACTCGGGCCTATAGGGCCTCGAACCTCTGACCAGGCCTTCACGGTCTGCAACAGAGTTCCACATGTGGAATACGCTGGCATAACTGACAAGATAGAAAAAGTAGCAAATATCTGTACTTATCTTTTTGATACTCATTGGTGAATAATTCAGCGAAGCTTTTGGGATGAGCATGATGCTGTTAGATTATGGATCAGGAGGTAGGAGATCAGTGTTTATTCCGCATAGATACTGGAAAGCCCAGGATGAGCTTGTTTCATAACCTAGTTGGTTCTTGCCTTTTGAAAACATTTCTAACAAATCTGAAGGGCCGTCTTAATGAGCTGAACTTTTTGGATTGGGAGCCTTGACAATGTTGCATTGAGGTTAGAACAGCTCTCCTGCGGTAAAGGTAATTAATCCTGACGCTGAAAATGTTGGTGACCCACAGCCTGAGTCAATGGGATGTTGTTGTTGTTGTTGTTGTTAAGTGCCTTCAAGTCAGTTCTGACCCATAGCGACCCTGTATAGGGTTTCCTAGGAGCAACTGGTGAGCTTGAGCTGCCGTCCTTGTGGTTCAAACTGACTTTGCAGTCCAGCACATTAACCCACGGTGCCAAACCATGAGTCAGTGGGATAGAGCCATTTGATAGATTTTATTGTGCTCTGAAGGAGCCCTGGTGGTGCCGTGGGTTAAGCTTTGGGCTGGTAACTAAAAGGTTGGTGTTTCAAATTCACCAGTCATTCCGCGGGTGAAAGACACAAGACAATCTGCTTCCATAAAGCTTTACAACTACGGAAACCCTAAGGAGCACCTTTACTCTGCCCTATTGGACTGCTGTGAGTCAGAAGTGATGTGATGGCTGTGGGTGGGATTGCGTTTTGCTTTCACTTATGGTAAACCATTAGAACCTACAGAGCTTTAGTCTATTTACCACTTCAGATTTCAGTAATATGATTGCTTTCATGATACCACATAAAACAACAATATTGAAGGAAAGGGTTAGATAGCATTGGCAATAAAGAGCTGCAATGTGAACCCATCCCAACATGCTGCTGAAGACATGCATACAAAGTGGGCCCGAAGGTGTGACTTTGAGAAAGATAGCAGGTAAGCAGCAATTTAGACTGATATCTTTCAATTTATCAAGGCTTTTGGACTTATTTGGCACCCGAATATAAATCCCTAAATCTCTTGTCCACCATTTTTTCCATTCTAATAAATGTGTCATTCCCCTGAAAGCCATCATTTGTGAGTCTGTTTTAGTAACTATAAGCCCCAAATGTGATAACAGCTAACAGTATGTATGTCATTCAATTGTCAAGAGTTTTAGGACATTGATTATATTGTTGCTAAACATCCTTGTAAATAATGGGAATCTCTGCTTGGACACACAGGGTGTTTGGTCTGTGATTAATTAGTTCTTTCTGTTCACTCTCTAGAAAGGTCTGGCTTCACAGTGAGGCCAGTGGCTGGATACCTGAGTCCACGAGACTTTCTGGCAGGACTGGCCTACAGAGTGTTCCACTGTACTCAGTACATCCGACATGGCTCAGACCCTCTCTACACCCCAGAACCGTAAGTCTCATCTTCCACACCTGACTGAGTGGAGACCACCACACTGCAGTGTCAATGGTTACACAACTTGGAAATGACCTAGGTCCTCTTCCACCTCCTAAGTGAGTTCCATCTTCCTGGCTAATGAGAGCCACACCACTCATGTCAAAGAATGAAGGACTCATTGAAAATCTCAGGCGGCCTCCTTCTCATGTTCTGTGGGAAAAAACCTAGACACTTCAGCTGGTAGACAAGGCTCTGAGAATCTAGCTTGTTTCTCAAGCTTTATGTTCAACACTGGACATTCTGCTTTTGCCAGGCTGTTGATGACATTATTTCTTAAAAAAAAGAAAAGAAAAGATTAATTTTTATGCAGTCATGATCCCCATAGAATAGTTTTAGCATATTGCATTTAAAGAAGCAAGGTACGAGCCACAATGCCAATAATTAGGATAACAGCAATGAACTCATGCCAAACAATTACTGTGTGTCAAATACTGCTCTGATGAACTCATTTAATCCTCACAACAACCCTATGGTGTAGGTATTACTGTTTAAATCGGCTTTCTGATGAGGATATGAAGGCACAGAGGGGTAAAGTAAACGTTGACAGCCAAGACACACATGCCTCTTGCATGCGCTACTGTTCTTATTAGCTGCTGTTGAGTTGGCCCATGACTCGTGGTGACCTCATGCACAACAGAAGAAAATGCTGCCTGGTCCCATGCCATTGTTGTGAACCAGACTATAGTGTTCCATTGGGTTTTCATTGGCTGATTGTTCGGAGGTAGATTTTGAGGTCGTTTTTCCTAGTCTATTTTAGTCTGGAAGTTCCACCGAAACCTGTTCAGCATCATGTTGTAGTTGTTAGGTGCCATCCAGTCGGTCCCGACCCATAGTGACCCTATGCACACTGCTGGAAACGAAACACTGCCCGATCTGCGCAAACCTCACTATTGTTGCTACGCTTGAGCTCATTGATGCTGCCACTTGGCCAATCCATCTCGCTGGGGGTCTTCCTCTTTTTATCTGATCCTCCACCTTACCAAACATGATATCCTTCTCCAGTGACTGGTCCCTCCTGACAATATGTCTGAAGTATGAGGGACAAAGTTTGGTCATCTTGGCCTCCAAGGAGCACTCTGGCTGCACTTCTTCCAACACAGATCTGTTGGTTCTATGGGCAGCCCATGGCACTTTCAATATTGTCCTCCAACACCATAAGTCAAAAGCATCAATTCTTTTACGTTCTTTCTTATTCACTGCCCAGCATCATAGCAACACCCAAATCTCCAGTGACAGATGGGTGGTGGTTGCACTCCTTACCCCCAGCATGGAAGGGGAGAATTCTTCTGCTGAACATACTCTATGGTGGTGGTAGTGGTGTGCCATGGAGTCAGTTCTGACTCATAGTGACCCTAAGTAGGATTTCTGAAGCTGTATATCTTTATGGGAGCAAAAAGCTTCATCTTTCTCCCATGGAATGGCTGGTAATCTTAAACTGCTGACCTTGAGGTTAGCAGCCTGATTTGTAACCACTACACTATGAGAGCTCCTTCATACACTCTGTAGCAACTCTTATTACTAATCAATCCCCTTTCCTTTTTTTTTTTTTATGTTTTAATCACCCCAAAACTCAGAACTCCGTGCTATGCTCTTATTCCACAAACAGCTCTGGACATCTTGAACATGTCTCCCATTCTCCCTACGACTTCCACATCTGTCTAGGATTTGAGATGCTACATTGGGTCTGTCGGCTTTCCTTGAGAGGATCCATCTATGAGGCTTTTCTTGATTCCCCCTTGCCCTTGGGTAAGAGTGGAAAGAGAAGCTAAGTGGCAATGCTGTACTGCTGTATCATGGGTAGGCTAAGCTGTGAACTCTTGTGTTAGTAATTTGGTCGCATCTCACAAGGACTGTACAGTTTCCTGGGGGGTGTCATGACCCTTGTCCTATATTTGCTGAATTTCCCCTGAATTCAAGGTAGATACTGTTTGCAGCTTCTCAAACATCCTCTTAGCATTCCAGGCACAATACTCTTCCTCAGAAGATCTGTCATTTACACTTTTTATTATCCATCTGTTACATGTATTTAACCATGCTAACTTTTAACATTTTAAACTGGTTTCTCACATCTTCCTTAAAATTATAAATGACTTGAGAATTGTGTACCTATAGTATATTTCTTTGTATTCCTTTTTCCTTTTTTAATTTAACAAATATTTATTGAGAAATCACTATGTGTTTTGGTGTGGCAGCGCTATAGGATAAGCACTGGACTACTGACTGCAAGATCAACTGTTCATATCCACCAATTGACCCTTGAGAACCCTATACAGAGTCGATATGATGATCAGAACTGACTCGATGGCACATAAAAACAATAAAAACTATTTGGGTTCCCTGGGTGATACAAATGGTTACCGACTAAAGGGTGGAGGTTCGAGTCCTTGGAAGAAATGCCTGATGGTATACATCTGAAAATGCAGCCATTGAAAACCATATGAAGTACAGTTCCATACATGAGTTTCCATGCACTGGAATTTTTTTTTTTTTTTTTTTACTATCTGCTTGGATTGTCTGGAAAGGAGACAATGTCCTTGCCACCAGGATGAATGCGGGAGACAACAATGAGCATATAAACAGGTAATCTGGAGTCAGATAATGATGAGTGCTATGAAGACAAATAAAGCAGGCCAAGGAGATGGAGAGTGACGAGGGAGGCTGCAGTTTGGAACTAAACCTTTAAGACAGTGTCTAGGAGGTGCCATGTCAACATCTGTGGGAAGAACTCTTTAGGTTGAGAGAAGGATGATACAAAGACCCTGAGACTAGAGGAGCCTATGTGGATTTAGCAAGCTGTCTTTGGGTCTTTGTCTCCTTGGGCTTCGTTCAAATAAGTGTCTAGTCCTATTGATGAGTTGGTCCCAACTATGTACAGCAGAAAGAAACCCAGCCTGGTCCCGCACCATCCTCACCATCATTTCTATGTTTGAGTACTTGGTTGCTGCCACTGTGTCAATCCAGCTCATTAAGGATCTTCCTCTTTTTCACTTACCTTCTACGTTACCAAGCATGATGTCCTTATAGCCCATATATTACCCAATCTACTACCCACGGTTCCTCAGGCCACTCAGTTTATCATATAGCCCTGGGATGCTGTTTTACTTGAATAATCTTGTGAAGAATGGGCTGCCATGGGGAGCACAGAGCCCTTGGAGGTGCAGGTGGTTAACTAGCCGATGACAGCTAAGGTGGACAGGGATTAGTGATTAGCGCCACTCTCCCAAGTCTCTCCCTCCCCTTCCTGGACTGGGTGAGGCCCACTGACCAGGTGGGTCCTTGCAGGGTCCCTGCATTGCTTTTCAGTTCCTTCTAGCTTCCCTGAAAGTGTTCTCAGGGTAAACAATGGTTACTTATAGGACTCCAGACATTTGGAAACAAAATGCTTCTTAAAGTGGAGTGAGTGCTCAAAGGAGCCTTGTCAGAGTTAGAAAGGCAATCGCTAAATGTAGCCCAGAGGGTTTACACATGGCTGTGTTTACAAATAGCTGGCACTTTGTTAGTTCCCTTTGAATAACTGGCCCTCCTGAGACCTGCAGTAGCGTGCCAATAGGTATGCAGAGAGAGGGCAAAGAAATGAGATTTTAGCCACAGAGGTTTATAAGATTTGGGGATAATATGTTACATTTTTACTAAAGTAGTTTCAGCCAATTCATTCAGCAAACATTTATGTGCAATGCTAGAAGGGAGGTGCAGCAGATTCAAATATGCATAAAATAAAGTTGCTGCTTTTGAAAGCAGCTTGCATTCTAGCAGGGGAGATAGAAACGTCAATAATTATGAAAAAGTGTGACTAGGGCTGTAACTGGGGTGTGTACAAAGTGTTTGAGCAACACAGAAGAGGGAGCAATCCCAGAAGGCGTTTCAGCATAGTGTAAACTGAGCAGGGTCTAGGAGGGCAAATAGAAATTACGTTTGTGGAAAGGAGACGCTTTCTAAGTCAGGGAAAGAGCAAGTGCAAACAGGGGGAGGCATGGAGAGACCGGAATGAGCAAGACTTGTTTGTATAGAGTGGCCAGAACACAGGTTTTATGTTAGGGATGAAATGTATCTTCAGGCAGACACATTGTAAAAACCAGTTGCCTGTTGAGCTGATTCTGACTCATCACGGCCTGATGTGTATGAGTAGAACTGTGCTTCATACGGTTTTCAGTGGCTGATTATTTTCTGAGGTGCCTCTCAGTCACCAGGCCTTTTTTCTGAGGTTCCTTTCAGTAGACTCAAAATTCCAAGCTTTCAGCTAGCAGCCAAGAACATTGCCTGCTCTGTGTTGGAACTCCAGGTCAGACTTCAAAGAGCTATTTATCCTACTATGGCATTTGGGCTTGATAGTGTAGGCAATGAGAGGTATTGCAAGATTCTTAAGCATGATCAGTGTGAGAAACATTGTTGATACTGACAAATGCTCAAGTCATCCAATCTGTACTCATTTTAGAGAGAGTGAGGTTTTCTTTATTCTATTTTGTAAAATGGGCACCCAACCCAGTAGACACAGGAAGATGTGAAGCATGGCTGGCCCACAAACAGTTTTATTCCCCGGTCTCAAAAAAGCCCTTCCTCCAGTTCCCCTTTTACTGGGTATTATGGAGTTCACAATTTGCCTATTAGTCCTTCCTGGGAGCATTCTCATTTAAGTTTAATTTCTCCCTTCCCCCATGAACTTCCCCTATTTCCTTGATGGGTGTATTCTTATTTTAAACTTCATCTTTCATGCTTGGGATGTATAGTCAGGAGGGAGCAGTCGCTGGAGAAGGATCTCATGTTTGGTAAGATGGAGGGTCAGAGAATAAGAGGAAGACCTCCAGCCAGATAGATTGGCCAAATGACAGCATCGATGGACTCAAGCATGGTAACAATAGTGAGGTTGGCCCAGGTTCGGGCAGTGTTTCATTCTGCTGTGCATAAGGTTGCTATGAGTCGGTACTGACTCGGTGGCACCTAACAACAACGACAATAAC